TTGTGAGCTGCCATGTGGGTGCTGGGATTCGAACCTGGGTCTTCTGCAAGAACAACCAGTGTTCTTAACCGCTGAGCCATCTCTCCAGCCCCTGTGACTCACTTTTAAATTTGCCAAAATAACAAAGTGGATTGGTGGTAAGATAGGAGAGGAAGGTAGATAAAATATGGGCAAATGTGTTAAATACTGGAAAATATTCATTGTAGAATCTGGTATATGGGTATATGATCTTCACTGTAGAAAAAAAATCTTACAGTGCATTGAAAAAATTTCATTAAGATTTTGAGGAAAAAAAGATCATTGCAGTTGAAATGCTCTGTCTGTGTTTGAATATTGCCTGACACAGGGCTGGAGAGATGGCTCAGCAGTTAACAGCACTGGCTGCTCTTGCAGAGGACCTGGGTTTGGTTCCTAGCACCCACATAGCAGCTAAGAACTGTCTGTAACTCCAGTTCCTAGAATCCGGTGCCCTCTTACCTACGAGGGCATTGCATGACATGGGTGCCCTTATGTACATTCAGGCAATACACTCATACACATAAAATAAAAATAATAAATTAATTAAAAACTATTGCCTGGCATGCCCCTTATCTTTAACCATGTGTAGGAGGAGTGTACTATTAACTGAATTATGAGCATCTCAGGCTGGGAATATAGCTTAGTGGCAGTGCACACTTGTTGAGCATGTGTGGGACCCTGGGTTCAATTCCCGAGTACCACAGACCAACAACTTTTGAGCAGGGCATGGTGGTGCATGCCTGTAATCCCAGCCCTTGGGAGGTAGAGGCAAACGGGTCGAGAGTTCAAGGCCAGCCTGGTCAGCATCTAGAGTTCCAGTGTAGTCAGGGCTACAACAGTAGTGAGACTTTATCTCAAAAAGACAAAACAGCAGCAACAAAAATTGTATGCATCTCAGACTCTTTAAATCATTTACTTGAATTACCGGCTCTTTGCCCCATGCCCTTTGTAGGAGGTGAAAGTTCAAGGTTTTCCAGTACTTTCTGGGGAAATAGGTCTAAGGCTATTAGCCTGGCTGATTATCATTACCCAAGAATCCTTTCTTAATCATCAGATTTGCTTTGTGACTCAAAACTAATTCCCACCTTAACCTGACAGAGCTAGAGAAAGGTGTACCCACTGCTCCAGAGGTAGGAGGTTCTGAAACCTTCCTACTTTGGCTCTCTTGAGGGCTCAAAGTTGTGGGTTTTATTTTCTGAGCTAGGTCTCGCTATTGTAGCCACTGTTGGACTGGAACTCAGAACTCAGTAGACTAGCCTTGAAGCCAGTCTCTTGCCTCAGCCTCTTGAGTATTGGAATTACAGGCTTGTACCACCATACCAGCAAAATACTTTTTTCTTTCTTCCTTTCCTATTTTGTGTGTGTGTGTGTGTGTGTGTGTATATGCGTGTGTGCACACACATGCACTGCAGTTTGATTCTAGGGCATCATGCATGCTAGGTCAGCACTCCCACTGAGCCAGCTGAACCTCTGACTCTAAATCAGTCCTGATAGGACTTGGATGTAGACTACATGTTTAGCATATGTGAGGTACTTGATTCAGCCTCTGGCATCTTTACAGCCCCCAAAAGAAAGAGCAAAAAGCAAATAAGGGGAATTAGTCCTGTGTCAAGTGAAACAGGGAGAAGCCTTATAGTCCTTTAAGTTTGCCTGTCTGAGGAAGGGTTCAGAGGCAACTTAGCCTTTTTGGTTTTTTTTCACTATTCAAACTACCTTCAATGTTCAGAAAACAAAACACCTTACAAGTGTTAACACTTTTCAAAATGTAACTTTGGATACAGCACACAGCTTTAAAAAACAGAACAAAATAATATAGTAGCATTATCCAGTGTTTATTTTGTTAATTTAGCAATTCTAATGGGATCCATGGCCTTGTGCACGCTAGACAGGGCTCTACCACGAAGTCACACCCTAAAACCTTACACAGATTTAAAACAGTTTTATTTTTTATGTGTATGAGCGTTTTGCCTGCATGCATGTAAGTGCACTGCATGTATGCAGTGCCTGTGGGGAGGCCAGAAGAGAGTGTTGAATCACCTGGGGCTGGAGTTACAGACAGTTATTAGCCATCATGTTGGTGTGGGGAACTAAACTCAGGTCCTCTGCAAGAGCAACCAGTGCTCTTAACTGCTGAGCTAAGAGCAGTGCTCTAGCTCCAGCTCCCCTTACATAGACTATTTTTTTTTTTTGGTCTCCCTGTAACCCCAGCTGGCCTGGAACTCACTATGTAGACCTTGAACTCACAGAGATCTGCCTGCCTCTGCCTCCTGAGTTCTGGAAATAAAGGCATGTGCCACCATGCCTGGCTCCCTTACATAGACTTTGTTTGTTTATTGATTGATTGATTGATTGATTGATTAATTAATTTAGTGGTCTTTTTGAGACAGCTGTAGCCACAGCTGGCCTGGAACTCACTATGTAGACCAGGCTGGCCTCGAACTCACAGAGATCCGCCTGCCTCTGCCTCCCGAGTGAGCCCGAATTTTGTTTTGTTTTGTTGTTGCCTTGCTTCTTTTTTTTTTTGAGGCAGAGTCCCATATAGCCCAGGCTGGCTTAAACTCACTATGTGGTGGGGATCAAACCTATGGCTTGCATGGATAATAGGTAGGCAGTCTACCCACTGGCCACATCCCCAGCCCATGACTTTGGTTTGTTACTTGTCTGTTAAGTGTTTGTGGAGGGGTAGGACTTGGGGGTGTGTGTGATTTCCTTGGGTTTATATGAAATCCTTCCAAATGGAAGCCTGGAAAACTGTAGCAGTAATTACACACTGGGGCTCTAGACAGGAGGGGTTAGCAGGGAGAATATTTTCTTGTGTATGAAATCCCTCCAGATGGAGTCTGAGACACTGTGGCAGTAACAGCACACTGGGACTTTGGATAGGGCAGACTGTCTTGTACACCTTTCTTTTTTGTTGTTATTGTGGTGCCATCTAAATGAATTACCTTTGTACAAAAATTATGAAGTTTTACATTGATTTAAGACAGAGCCTCTCCCATCCCCCAGTGGCCTGGACTTTCCAGTCCTCCTATCTCAGGCTCTTGAGTGCTGAGATTATGGCACACATCTATAATGTAATTTTTAAGTCTATGTAAGCCGGACGTGGTGGTGCATGCCTTTAATCCCAACACTCGGGAGGCAGAGACAGGGGGATCTCTGTGAGTTTGAGGCCAGCCTGGACTACGTAGTAAGTTCCAGCAGGGGTTACAGGGAGACCCTGCTTCAAAAAAAAAAAAAAAAGAAGACAAAAATTTTTTTATTTTCTGTGTAGGAGTGTTTTGTTGGTATGTTTGTAATGGCACCTGTGTCATGCAGTGCCTGAGGAGGCTGAAAGAGGCTATCAGGTCCCTTGGAACTGGTGTCAGAACAGTTTTTAGCTACCACGTATGTGCTGGGACCTGAACCTGGGTCCTCTTCAAGAGCAGCCAGTGCTTTTAACCGCTGAGTTGTGCCTCATTTATGGACGCTTTTATTCCTTACTATTTTTTTTAATCCCAGCACAATTTACTCATCCAATTTAATCTTTCTGTCTTAGTACCCCTTTAAATATACACACAAATATGAGTTTAGTTTTTTATGTTGTTGTAAGTACATATTACAATTTTTTTCTTGGGGTACTGCTAGGATTTGTACAAGTGGGCAGAGGCATGGGGTAAACCCCTTTATGCCCAAGCCAGCCAGCCGGATAGTTTCTGGTTTGGGCGCTCTTACTTCATCCCTCCCCCTCATTTTCCTGGCTAAACTATTTTAAAAACAAATTCCAGAAATAGTGCCATTTTACTTTAGTATTACAGAATTTTTCAGCTTTCTAGTTTGGAGAAGTTCAAGGACATTGAAAGTGAGACTAGCATGAGTCCTGTACTTAGCATGCACTGTTGTCAGCAGTCTGCCTTTCATCCCCATTACCCCTCCCCTTATATAAATTGCTGGAGAGTTCTAAAGCAAATGGTAGAGATCTAATCTTTTCCCATGCAAGCACTTCAGTAAAGTACCAACTTAAAAGTATCTGATACAAATATTTAGAAGTGACATTATTTGAAAGATGTAAAGGATTACTGCCAGTTATCAGCCTTTGGCATTCCAGGCCCATATATTTCAAAATAACACTACAAGCGAGCAGCATTGAGACCAAGAATTTCAGCTACATGCTGAAGTATGGGTGGAATTTCCCTTTCTGTCCTGAGGGTGAAGTGATTGAGTTATGTGCTGAGATATCTTCTTGAGTTTAGGTCTCAGCAGTTCTCAGTAGAGGGGAGAGTGTGCACCTTCCCCTGCCTGCCCCCCAGGGACATTGCCAATAGCTGGAGACATTTTTGGTGGAACAAGGTGCCACTGTCATATGGGTTGAGGCCAGAGAGACTGCAAAGGGAGTGGGTCTCTAACTTGCTGGGAACTACTCAGTGAACATTGATGGGGGAGGGGGGTATAGATAGCAATTGCATGGACACATCTTAGCATTTATCTGTATTATGTTGACACCCAGAATATTCCAAATGAAGTCACTTTGGCATAGTACACCATTCTGTCAGTTCTGTCAACAAGGATTATTTCAGAAGGTTTGGACTCTGCTTACAAGGAAGTTAGACTCCATCAGAGGCAAGCGGATGTGAAAACTTTTTATTTCTGGAGCGCTTCCAGAAGCCAAACAAGGCTGAGACTGTTCTAGTGGCAGCTCATACATGTGAATTTACAGGGAAAAGCAAACTAGGCAAAAGAAGATGGCTTTCCACAGAGAACATTCAGAAAGGGCATAGACGATCCATGGAGTCAGGCAGTCCTAAAGAGTCTGAAAACTGTGCTGTGCACAAGACCACAGGGACCCCAAAGATAGCTCTGATAGGCTCCTCAGTGCCCAGGACCCTAAGCCTAAGTTGGAGATGGGTGTGTTTGGGCCCAAGTCAAGGACCTAGAACTCTGAGTGTTTTAATGGGGACCCAGAATTTCTGGCAGCAATGGTAATTTTGTGCCTTGTTTCTTTTCAGATTCCTCATTTAGCAAGTGGATGTGCGGGGTAACATGTCCAGCGTGTCCGAGGAGAGAAGAAAAAGGCAGCAAAACATTAAGGAAGGACTGCAGTTTATCCAGTAAGAGCCCAAGACTTCATAACCAGTGTGCTTGGCCTGTGGTGACCTGTTTAGTATTGGGCCATACATTTTGTAAAGTCTCAGAATGCTTTCCTTTTTTTTTTTTATTTTCAGTTTTATGCTTTGTTTGTTTTTTGAGACACAGTCTTTCTGTAGCCCCTGCTGGCCTCAAATTCATTATGCAGACCAGGCTGGCCAGCTCACAGAGATCTAGTGCTGGGATTTTTGTTTTTGAGATGAAATCTTATACTGTAGTCCAGGTGGCCTCAAACCCCAGCAGTCCTCCTGCCTCAGTCTGGTGAGTGCTCAGTTACAGGTGTCAGCCACCATACTTGGTAAAATTGAGAACGTTCATCGTGCAAATGGCATACATTGTGCAAATGGTTACAAATGGCATATTTTCATCCTGCACATTTTCTCTTGTCCTTTTGAATATTCTTGTGTCCTTATTATTGCTGATTATCAGAGTTAAAAATAATGAGTAGCAGCCCCCTCACCTGCCCCAAAATTAGACTGAAGAATTAGAGTGTGTTCTTGTAAGAATTCTGGTGAATTAAAAACAACTGAAGCTGGGCGTGGTAGCGCACGCCTTTAATCCCAGCATTTGGGAGGAGGCAGAGCCAGGCAGATCTCTGAGACTGAAGCAAATCTGGTCTCTATAATGAGTTCCAGGCCAGCTGGGGCTACAGGGAGAACCTGTCTCAAAAAGAACCCCCGCCCCAAAACAACAATGACAACAAAAAACCCCTACGAAAGTGAACATGTACAGCATAGAGGGGGTTTGCCAGCTGATATTCCTGTTACAACAGCCCCAGTGACAGCTGGGCTGGGAGGACATCTCTAGGCAGAAGAGCCTCTTTGTTCCTTCTGGAGAGGAGACATTGACATGCAGTAAATTGGATCAGATAATGTTAATAGTTCTGTACTATTTTTAATCTTTTTGGTATTTGAAGAATTAGACCTTCTTTTAATAGAAGTAGATTTGAAAGGAAAGTGTTGGACTTAAGGAAGCAGTAGTTGAGCATGGTGGTGCATGCCTGTAGCTTTGGCATTTGCCTGTAATCCCTGCAATTGCCTTTAATCCTAGCACTTGGGAGCTAGCGGCAGGAGGATCAAGAATTCGGAGGCCAGTCTTGGCTACTTTACGAGTTTGAGACCAACTTGGGCTTTGTGAGACCCTGTCTCAAAGATAAAATAAATAAATAAATGAATAAAGAGAAATAGTCTTTTTTTCTTCATAGCTATGGTCACATGTGACTAAATGGTTGTGGAGGAGAAGTATGTCTTTGAAATGTGTTTTGAACCAGCAGCAGGCTAAGAACCACAGTTTAAGATGACTTTTGAGTGAACAAATGCTGACAGGGAGCCTGGCATGGCGCACCTTCCTATAATTCTAATCCCAGCACTTGGGAAGCAGAGGCAGTCTGATTTCAATGAGTGCAGGGCCAGCCAGGATTACATAGTGAGACCTTGTCTCAGAACAAACAAAACTGTTAGGAATCTTGTAATTACATTGGATTTTGTTTCTTCTTCTCAGGTCTCCGCTGTCATATCCAGGGACTCAGGAACAATATGCGGTAATGACTGTGGGAGGGGATGCTTGAAAGGTCAGCCAGTGACCCTTGAGCTATAATAATCTGCAGCAAGGGTTGGCAGACTCTGTCCTGTGGGTTACACCCAGGCAGCTGCCCTCATTCATGAATAAAGTATTATCAGGCCCAGCAGGTCTCAATCATTCTGTGACTGCTTTTGTGACACAGACCTCATGGCCATTTTGAACCTCTTGCCAGTTAACTTTCATTTTATCAATAGAAGTAGGATGGAATTCACAAAAAGAGTGTGGGGTACCACTGTTTTCATTTTGGAGGAGTCCTAACAGTAGTAAGAGGGGACTAGGTAGTAGGAAGGAAGAGCTGGCGATGAGCTGACCAGACACAGGGAGAAGAAGGCTACTCCTTGGACCTTGGACTGGAACTCTGTCTCAAAAAGACAAAAAAAAAAACAAAAAAACAAAAAAACCCCTAGTCTTAAGTCTTCAATTTAAGCTCACGCCCTTAATCTCAGCTCTTGGGAGGCAGAAGCCAGAGGATGGCAGCAAGTTTGAAGCCATATACTTAGTCTCTTGACTGAGGACTTCTACCTGATGTTCATTATCCTTTATAAGGAGAGTGCATTTTCTCATGCAAAAGTATGCAAGATCAATTCCCCAGCAAGACAACAGTAATGAATTCAGTCTAATCATTTCTTACAGCAATTCTGCTCTGCAGTTCAGTGATTTTTTTTTTCCCCCTGAAGTTTTAGGTATAAGTATAGTATTTACTTAGGCTGTAGCTTGTTCTGTAAAGGACTTCAAGAGGTTATTTTCTCTTTTTTAGGTATATTTGCATGCTCTTGTGAGCAATCTTTTTAATGAAGGAAATGATATTTATCGGGAACATGATTGGAGTAGCTCAATAAGCCAGTACACAGAAGCTTTGAGTATAGCTGATTATGCAAAGTCTGAAGAAATTGTAATTCCTAAAGAAATCATTGAAAAACTACATATAAATCGTATTGCCTGCTATTCTAATATGGTGAGTTGGGAGCTTTAAAACTGTAATTCTATAGAGAAAATTTTCTTCAGCGATGTAATACATTAATAAAAAATCATTTTCCTATGTTTTTCCCTGTGCTGAATATGGAACCTGGTGCCTCGTGCATGCTAGTCCTTAGCATGCTTAGTGGTACGTGCTACCACTGAACTGCACCCTTGCCCTCTACTCTGTTCATATGTACTCACTGATGGCTTATGTTGCTTTCCGTAATGTACTCCTTATCAGTTAGCTACTTGGGAGCTATATTCCATTTTACTTTTTAAAACTGGCACATCAAAATTGGAGATTTGTGGGGTACCATATGGTGTTTCAATGCGTGTATATGCATATATTATATAATAATGTTCAAACCAGGATGTCACTTGTTTGTGGTAAAAATGTAAAAAGCCTTTCTATTTTTCTATTTATTTATTTGTCTTTTTTGTGACAGGGTCTCCCTGTAGGCCCAGCTGACCTGGAACTCACTATGTAGACCAGGCTGTGAGTTAAGGCCAGCCTGGTCTATATAAGGAGTTTCAAGCCAGCTGGGTCTATAAGGAAACCCAATTTAAAAAAAGAAAAAAAAGCTGGGTATGGTGGCGCACGCCTGTAGTCCCAGCACTTGGGAGGCAGAGGCAGGCGGATCTCTGTATCTCTGTGAGTTCAAGGCCAGCCTGGTCTACAGAGTGAGTTCCAGGACA